TCCTCCAGGGCAGGCGGGGATCGAACTCATGCAGAAGTGGCTTTAGCTTCTTAGTGCAGTGCTTTAACCAGCTGCGCCACCAGGGAGGGCCATGAAAATCATTTTAATAAAAAAAATCTCTGGTACATATTGGTTAAAGTTTATCTAAGTAAACAGTTTTATCCATTGCTTTTCTAATTTAATTGCCATGTCTTTAGGGCCTAAGTTCGATCCCTAGCAGATCCACATAAGGCACAGCATTCCTCTCCTGTCTCTCCCGCTGTTCCCCTTAGCAGTGTATTTCAGTAAATCCACCTGTTCTGCTCCCCACTTTGTCTTTGGTGAATCCTCTCACCCCTCACACCTCTGGCCTACACCCCAGTTTTTCCATGCAAAAAATAAATTGATTAAATAAAATTAAATATTATAGTTTAAAAATATTATAATATTCTTGAGAACCAAAATAAGTCTGTTGAACCAGATTATATATATTATGTGTATACAAGGAATATATAATAAACTTTTGTGACATATACATGTGAACATCAATCTGTATGTGCAAGACAGGTGTACATATGTACACATAAATACATTCATACTGAGATGCCTAGGAATACTACTCTCTCTTACACATATACTCCTCACCTGGGCTCATGAGGCAACAAATAACTTCCATACAACATTTCCGTTATTTCCAGCCTAAATAATCAGCAGCATGAAAAAGTCAAAGGGCACTGTAGGAAGGAGATAGTAACACTAATGGACACCACCTGCAGTTACTAGTAAAAGTAGTAAAGAAAAATGTCATACCTAGTAATCGAAGCAACATAAACTGTACTCCCAGTGCCAGAGACCGCTGCCTGTGATTCACACATCTGGAAATAGTAAACATAAGAAGCTAAAATTGGTTCTATAATGTATACACTGTTTGATCAAATTCAGTTTTACACTAGCTTAGTATTTCTATTTTAAAGTGAACATTATGCACATGAAATGAATTATTTTACATACACTTCACTTTCCTGGGATTACAGAAGAAATATGTTGCATGAACTAAAATGTTGGAAGCACCAAAAAGGAGTCAAGTAAATTCCAACAGACATATGTATGACTTTTAGAAACTGTAAAGAAAAAGGAACATTCTTCTGCAAGATTTTATTCAGGCTATCACTATTAATTAAAGCTGCAAGCAAATAATTCCTTTTCTAGCACAAACTTTGAGGCAAAAATCACACCTATGTAAAAGGTACAGATTTGAGGCCATATAAAACAGTTGCTGAGCTTGATCTAATTCAACATTTTTCAATGGCCATACCAGCCTGAAGGTATCCAAACTTACTTGATTTATCAATTCTTGAAGTAGTGACTGTTAATAATGAATGAGACCTGATTTTGAGTATAACAGATAATAAATAAAAGGATAAACTGGTCTTTCAAAGCAAACATGTAGTTAAAATATAACTACTTAAATTTGAACATTTAAAGAGCATTTCATCTATTCTTGAAATAGTTCCAATTTCCATACAGTGTGATGGATAACAGAATTTATACAGAATTTCCAAAACTACCCATCTATTTAAAAAAAAAATCAAATGGGAAGGTATTGAATCAAAGAACAAAAGAGGAAGAAGGAACAGAGTTCAAATTAATTAAGAACTAGATAAGCTTTTGGAAGCACAGCTAAGACCTACTTTTAAAGTTGGATTAAAGGAGAAGAAACAACTGAAAGCACTAACCATGGTGAAAAACCAGGTAACAGCCAGCCTGTTACCTATAAGTACCATTTATAGAAAGGTTCTCTATCATAACACCTATCATCTAAGGTAGAACACATGTCACTCTGGTTCTGACTTGGGCGTGCATTGTATTTCCTCAACTTAAACACAACTGAAGCCTCTTAAAAGAAGCAGAGAACTAACATCAAGTATATGCCATTTAAACCTGAGACATCTAGGGTTCAGTGAGCTAACCTGCCTATTGCCACACAACTAATGACCTTGTAAAGGGCTGAATTGGCATTAGACCAAGGGTCTATGTAATACTCCAAATGAACCCAAGTCTATTTTCTTTTCATTCATCATATTGTGTTGAGGATGGCAAATTTCACGATATCATACATACCTTAGGATGGATACGGTAATAGGAGTACCAGCCATAAAGGTAAAAATAACTATAATAAAGAAAATGGAAAGGAAAACGGGCAGAAATGGACACTGAGTTCCACATTTTCCAGCTTTAGCTTCAAAGCCTTCACTTGTTGCAGTAGGTGTTATTTCTACTTTCTTTTCAATACAGGAACAATTATAATATACCTACAAATATTACACATAAAGATACTATAAGTGCTTATCTTGAATAAATATTTTATCATTGTAAAGTATGTGATCTCTAAGATGCAGTACACACTCTTACACAGTCCATACACAACAAATAATGTTAAGAAAGAGTAATTAACCCACTCGCCTTTTATTATTGAGGTAACACTGAGTTGTAGCACTGTATATGATTCAGGAGAATAGATGGACACATAGGTAATTAAACCTTACAAAATAAAACAAATGAAAACAAGAGTCCAAATTCATGAAGCAGAATTATCTGTATTTGACTTTTGTGTCCAATTCTTCAACTCATAATCTATTGCTGACTAATGACTTATAAAACAAATTGACAATAATATGACATTTACAGATCTCACACACTATAGACTGTTTTCACTACACTGTAAGTATTTAAATGGTTTTATGCTAAGGTTCTTTTCCATTATTAAATATATATATATAGCAATTATCTCATTACCTACACAAATCTGAAAGGATGAACATTATAATTTTAGGAAATTCCAGGCTAAAGTCAAGTAGTGGGCCACAAGATTTGGGGGACAAATACTGCTTTCAACTCAGCCATTTTACTATATTTTTCTGACCATTTTTAATATCCAAAGCAAACCATATCCCCTTAAGATGATGTATTTATGACATAAAGAATTAGAAGTTGTTACCTAATTATCTTGAAGGCTAAATATACATAATATATTGATGACTTTATGTTTTATATATGCACATACACATATACATACAACTATATGCATATATATACTAATTAATAATAAACAGTGTTGGAGGGTAACATTAAGCAATTATAGCTATAACTTATTTAAGAAAATTCAGATATCATCCAATAATGAGGTGGTGTAACCTTTAAAATTTTTAATAAACAAATGGAAGATGAAAGTTTCTATGTTGATGACTCTTTCTAACTTGCTTACATTAAAAAAGTATGTGTCTTCCTGCACTACTAACCATATCTGTTTTTATAGTTTGGATCATTAATGTAAATTATAAGCCTAAAATTTCTATGAACAAAAATGTACAGGCATTTATCACATTATTATCCATGCATTTTATCTATCTAAAATACTACATCAGAAAAAAAGGAAGAGCTAAAATTAGCTAGACATAAAGACAAGTCATAACAAATAGAAAAATTAGAAATCTAAATGACTCCTGCCAAACAACCCCTAAAAGACAATTTGCTATTTAAGATGGCAACAATAACAATTGGTGAAAAATATGAATATGAATTATTAAAATGAACCATCTTAAAATAACTAATACCATTTCAAGTGTACTGTGTCTTAGTTTCCTTGGGCAGGATGGTATTTACATTTTAAGTTATAGTATATTATTGATTATCAGTAAAATGTACAACAGATCTCTAGAGTTTATTCATTACTGGACTGGCAGAGGTGGGCCAGGAGGGAAACACTAGTCATTACTACTCCACCTGTGGATTCAAAAGGCCATCCACAAACACACAAACACATTGCCTCATAAAAGTAAAGCAGCAAAGTTACCTTTGAATGTCTTTTGGAAACAGAATTTTTACAGCCTGCATAGCAGGGAGAAAAGTACTGCACTCCATTTTCTCCACAGATAGGATAATAATACGATCGCAAGCAGTTACAATCAGCATTACAAGGAGCAGTCAGGTTTCCAAGTGTTCCTGTCCTGTCATCCAGAATAAAAGAAGTATAAATTATCTGTGCTGTAACTTATAGTGAACAGTTTGGAAGCACTGTTATAACCTACTAGTCATTCCTTTATTCACTCCCTCGACATAGATTTCATCCCTGAACAAATAAAACAAAAGTGTTGTCTTTTCACATAAAACTTAACTTTTTGTGGTAGAGATGGACTGTAGAAACAATAGTCATAATATAATGCCTGCCAGTTATAAGAAATGTGGTGAAGTAAGCAACTAAAGAGGTTTCTAACTTGGTAAAAGATAATCCTTTCTAGGAGAAGGAGGTGGGCTGTTTGTGGACTCTAGAATGTCCACAAACTAATTATAGAGTCCACAAACATCCCCTTCATGTGACAATCAAGTGTCTCCAAATCTTGCCAAATTTTCCTGGGATGCAAGCAAAGTTTTAAATCTGGAAGTACACGAATAACATCAAGTATTCAACATACTCATTTTATCAATGGGAAAACTGGATTCCAGGATATTACTACTTTTCTTTGTCAAATATAACACACCTGCTCATCAGGCTCTTAACTTTTATCTATATGCATTACACATGAATGTACATATGTGTACACTAGTGCACCTTCTATTTCTCCATCCTTACTAATATGGATGTACATTAAGCTCTATCTGTGTCCCAGGTATTTGTTGATAACCAACCCTCAACTGCACCTCACAATGACACCATCTCAGTTGCCTTCCAATCTGATCAGCAAAAGGACAGATCATCTCTCTGCTGGTGATGCTTACTGAGGATATAAAATACCAAAAAAGATTCACCTTTATATCATTCTCTTGTCAAGGTAATAAAACTAGAGTTAACTATCAGGTCTTCTGTAAGAACATACTTTTCTGTATGGTTTCAAGGGATAGGGTGAAGTTTATAGATTTTTTTTTTTAAAGATTTATTTATTTGTGCATACAGAACTGGGGTACAGGCCAGAGGCTCAGGGATGGTGAGAGGCTTCACCAGAGACAGAGTGGAGAACAGAACAGGCAGATCTACGAAGTACACTGCTGAGGGGAGCAGCTGCCGGGTCAGGAGAGGTCTGCCACGCCATGTGGTCACCTCCGGGGCAGGCAGGAATTGAACTCCTGTGGAAGCGGCTTTAGATTCTCAGTGCTTTGCTTTAACCCGCTGCACCACCAGAGAGGGCCGAAGTTTATAGATTTGAAAGTCAAGTTTGTATAACTTCTACCTACCTTTCAATTTACTGTTTAGTTTTCTACTGATTTCTAGATATATAATCTACACCTCTTTCAAAATGGTCCCTGAACATAGTTTTCATTTTCTAAAATGTATGTCTTGGCTTACATATCCCTCTGCCTTTTCCTCTTTCCAGGTCTTTAATTCTCTAAAATGATTTTATCCTTAAAAGATAGCTAGTGCCATTTCTCTATATTCCCATACAGCCTTTACTGAAATCTTATTAAAAGAAATGGAAAGATTGTCTTTCTTTTGAATTCCTTATACTTGTGTGTGTGTGTATGTGTGTGTGTATCTTGTTACTAATACATTTTTCACTCTTTTCCTCCCTGCTGCCTGCTGTACTATAGACTCCTATAACAAAAGGATTTGCCATAAAAATCTTCCAGCAGAAGCAGACACAACAAATGTTACATAAATGTAATGGAGCTGAATTAAATACTGCTTTGCTTTAGTATGTGCAGTATCAAATTAAATGATAAGAACTACAAATCATAATTGGTATTGGCAAACTTTTTTAAACAATGTACATTTTTTTTTAAGGTTATCTGGATGCGACTTTTACAAAATTCTTAGTCTGTGACCTAGAAAATCATTTCCCTCAAAAGCCTCAAGCACGAGTAATGAAGCCAAGTACAGATGTGGGTATAAAATACACTGTGCACTGCCCTCCTTCCTAATCCTTTACTGAAGGCTTAGGACTTCAAAGCAAAATAAGCTAGACAAAGTATGATAAAATAGTCACACCAAACATAGGTACATGCAACAAGGATGAGTGTCATCTAAGATTAGCTTCATTCTAATTTCTCGGCTAGCCTATTTCCAACCCATCTAATAAATAGGATTTCACCATAAGACGTCATCTCCATTAAAAATATTTATATCACCAGAAAATAGGAAAATCTTTCTAGGATATTAACCCCAGAAAAGATTCTGTTGTATTAAAACATAATGCTAGATATATTAGTCCCTTCCTTAAATGCTCTCTGCATAAACACCCAACTCTTAAAGAGATATTAACTCTTGGTATTCAAATAAACAAAAACCCCTACATTGGACAAAGCCTACCAGTTAAAAAAGTATTAATGTCACACCTTTTAAGAAAACATACACTTGGAAATATAAACACACTTTATCACTTTGACATTAATAGCAAAAGGCATTGAAATATATTTACCCATTGTATGATTCGGAAACACCAGCAAATGGCTCATTTTCACAGTGGGCATAAAGGAAAACAAAACTCAGTACAAGAGCAACTAAAGACGTGAGCAAAGCAAATTTCATTGTGTTTTTGCAGGTCATTTTGAATTTTGAAACAAGGACACCACCTAAAATCTGACCAAGAGCAGCTCCAGGAATTAAAGCAGCACCTAGTGAGATAAAAAAGTGAGAAAACATACAAAGGCACTCAATAATCCATACCAAAAAGTGGAAACATAAAAAAGGACATAGTTTTAACATGAAAATGTGCACATGATTTAGAAACTTGAATAAGTGACATTATAACATTAAGATTTTAATACAATTCCTGATTTGATTAAGATGAATATTTTCCTTAACTATATATTCTTGATACAATACATGTATTCTTTTCATATGATAGATTGTCCAATGTCAGAAAACCAGTATGAAACTATTCAAAATTACACACTATTGTAATAAACAAAGCATTAGATTGTGAGAACGAAGAAAATATTTTACCTCCAAGGGTAGCTGCAAAGCTGGATGACAATCCAAACTGATTTTCTATAAATTTGGGTAAAAAAGTAGCAAATCCAGTAGTAACTAAGGCTTCTGAAGAAGTAGATAGAACTAAACACATAAAGACTGTGTTCCTCAACAAACTCTAGAGAAAAAAATAAAGTTCACCAAATGTATAATTGTGATTACACTTCAAAATGGGGAAGGGAGCATGATGAAATGGCAACTTTTTAATAAACATAATTATCTGGAAAATTTCACAATTTCCTTTAGAAGAAAAGCACAAATATAAATAATAACTTTACAAATATATGAATGCACAATATAGAATATATAAAATGTTGATCTACCCGTTATTTTATATTTTTATTGTTTTAAATTCTTAAGCCCTGGTGGCGCAGCAGGTTAAAGCACTGCACTAAGAAGCTAAAGTCAATTCAGCATGAGTTCGATCCCTGCCTGCCCGGGAGGTGACCACATGGTGCGGCAGACCTCTCCCAACTCGGCCGGCCGTTGCTCCCCTCAGCAGTGTACTTGGTCAGTCTGCCCGTTCTGTTCCCCACTCTGTCTGTGTGAATCTTCTCACTGCCCCTGCGCCTCTGGTCTATACCCCAGTTCTGTATGAATAAATAAATAAATCTTATTTTTTTTTTTTAATTCTTGTGTTCAGTAAATGAAGCAGAGAGAATGACTCTACGAATCACACTTATAGTACTGTTTTATGGGTAAAAGACTCAGTAGGTTAAGAACCTTACATAAAAAGTCAGACCATTTTGAGTAGTTGTATATATATTGCTAGACTTCTTAATTTGTCAGAAGGCATGTAGTGTTTCACTATTTCAATAGATTCAATTATAATGTGAAAACCAAATTATAATTACAGAATCTAAAATGACAAAAAACATAACATTGAGGAAAGTCCATATATACCCCCAAACACATAGCACACTTCCAACTGTTGTCAGAGGGATAAGATAAAATATTTAAGTCAGTCAGATGATCTAATACAAGAATAGTGACAAAAGGAGAAAAGTGACCTGTATATGTAGTAGTTAAAGTGACCTGATATGTAGTAATTAATAAATAATAGTAAAGATTTTAAGTCTTCATACTGAAAAACGATAATGAATTTCAAGAAAGGTAAAATGAAACACACACACACTTAGACATCACCTAGTGAGTTTTCTGAAATCCAAGATATATGAAGAAATCTACAATGCTTCTAACAGTTTCCTGTCTAAGGAATACCAGACAAAAATGCAATCTCCAGAGAGACCTGACTCAGAACAAAAGATCTAAGGCATAAGGCCATAATTGTTTAATAAAAAAAAAAGAGTTTTGATTAGATTAACGACTTGATGTTAGGATTCATAAGATAAAATAAACATAAATAAATAAAATAGAACAGAACTGATAGAAAAGAATATAGTGGTTAGAAATAAAAATTGCGAACAATCATAACAAGACACAAGAACGTGCCTAGATGGCAGAAGAGGAGGCTGAGGTGAAAGATGAGAAGAATAAGAGTTAAATATATTAAGGCTGTCATTTGAAGAGGAAAAAGAGTAATAAAAAGTAATTTTAAGATCTTGAAAAAGTAAAAGTATAAACTTCCATATATACAAAATTTCATGATGCCAAATAGAATGCTTTCTGTTGAGTATAACAGAATAAACTATAATACTTTCTTTAAACTCAAACTCAAGCCACCACCTCTTTCATAATGTTGGTTTGGCATTCTCAAATATGTATTTACTACTGAGTTGTAATCAGTCAGTCGATTACAAGAGGAAGTGACATGGACTAATAGCCTATAGGCTATTCTGTTAATGAGAAATAATTAAATATTGATATGGCCAATAAAATAAATCATGATGGTCTTTCAGGCACCTGTTCTGTAAAGATTTTCATTTACTCAAGTACAGTTAAAATCAAAGAGCTTTTTTTTTTTTAATAAATACTGGAAACATTAAATAATACATGCATGCAAGATATACTTGTTTAAGTATATATGTAATATGTATACATTTCTCATATGTACTGTGCAGTGTGGATATGTATGAAAATGTCTGAATAATGTTATTTTACCTTTAGAGCAGCTGGAAAATCTTTAAAACTTTTTCCAAAATTCTCATCTTTATGTTTTAAGGAACAATTCTTAACCTGATGAGTCTGGGAAGTTTTTCCATCTTGAATTTTTGCCGTACCTAAAAAATAGTAAATGCTCTTGCTCTACCACTTCATTCTTTGCTTTTAAAAATGCTTAACTTTTTTTGGGCACACAATTACTAGAAGCATACAGATGCAATATTAGAAGCCAGTTTCAGTCTTTGTCAACAAAACTACACAAACACCTAACTAGGTCTGTGATCTGGCTGTTCTAGGAACAGCCAAGAAAATTCCACTAGCCAAGAAAATTCCAACCAGTCTAAAAATTAAGATGCAATAATTTTGCTCCATTCACATATCAATTATCTTCATATAAAATAACTCTTTTCCCCCTTCCTTCCAAATGGCTTTTTTATTCTTTAATATGTGTTTGAAACTTTTCCCTTCATTCTCTTAAACCTATTAATATCTCTTTGGTTTTTAATAATAGCACTGTGAATAAATCTTACAAAAGTCAATATATGGAACATAAGCTGGATGGCCCAGGTCAGAATGAAATCAATGAGTTGCTCTTTTACTCTACCAGCTTTTGCCTATTTATAAAAGTTAATCATTTTTCATGTTACTTATACCAACAGAGACAATCTTCAGCCAAATAAAAAACAATTTCTACATGTGTGTTTTGAATGACATGACTATATAAAAGCAAAATCTCACAGAAAAGAATTAATATTCATTTCTTTTTATCAGTACCTTCTTTTTAGACTATGTTGTGCTTAAGTATAGTGAAAAATGGGTATATTTTCACATATTTGGTAACAATTTACAAAGTGTTTGCACTTTCATCAACAAATGATTAAAATCAATGATTACAGGAAGAATGGCTATTGAAGTTAGTGATTAAGTAAACCAACAATTAAAAAGATACCATAGCTCTTATGTATATAGAGCAGGATTTCAGACAATACATAAAAAGTAAACTTAGTAAAGAGGTATGTCCAATTTTACTGACTAATTAAAAATAAACAAACCCATGAATATTAAGATTGCTATTCAATATTTACTAAAGTAAAGGGCAGTCTTCAAAAGTTTGCACTGACAGACATGAGAGTCCATAAAACAAAAACAAATTCTCTAGGGTATTATTTATCATATAGAAAGCATCATTTGGCCTAGAGTTGAAATGAAAAACCCTAATTTTAAGGAAAACGTGTTTACCTGGTAAATGTTTTGGAAAGCAAGAAAATGGCAGTATCAAAGACCAAGCAAAGAGCCAAATCAAAAGAAATCCAATCCACCAGGCCCCCAGCCACCGAGGGTCATCTTCAGTGATATCAATGCTAATAAAAGAAAAATGAGAGGTAAAAGTCAACTCTATCTTATTAATTAAAACTCCACTACAGTAATGATGTACTTTGTAATTCAAGTAATTATATAGGGAGATTCTGCTATAATAGCTGTAATTTTAAATGAAGTCACTGTGATACGAGTAGGCATAAGTGAGAGCTTACGAATAATGGCTACAAAATATTTCAGTAAGGCAAATATTACATAAAAATTTAAAATATTTAACAGTAAATATAAAGTATTTTAGTATTTAAAAGCACATACATGATTTCTGAAGATTCTTTAACTACAACTAAGTCTTTTCTACTATATTAAATTCATCTCAGCATAAATCTCAGATAGGGCATTCACTTAAATGCAAGATTCTTTGTAAGTGATTTATTAACAGTGTTCTATAAAAGTTCTTATATGCTTATAATAGGACTCTTCCCAAAACACAACAACCTGAGAACTCATGTTCCCAAAATAGTCACTAGGTAAATTCTTCTCTGAAGTTAGAACAAATGTCATCCTTCAAAATCCAGCTCTCTGTTTCATGAATTTCTCTGCATACTTTTCTATATAGTCTGAAAGATTAATTCAGACTAACAACTCAAAGAAAAAGATCACATGCCCATGACCATGATTTTCTTATTCATTGTTCACGGTCATGCAAAGGATTGCAGAGCTATGATTCTCAGAGGCAAAATATGGCCTCACCAAGTCATTAACTTTCTTTGTTCAGGAAAAGGAGATGGAAGCCCAGTGGTTAAGAGAGAAATTTTTGAGTAAAAAAGCATCTGCTTTAATTCCTGAGATGGCCACTTAAAAAGCTACACCTATCAACTACCTTTTAATAAGATGGCATGCAAAGTAAGGCAACACACAAAATATAGAACACAGTTTGAGATAAATAAACATTGTCTATTTATTATGCTCCACTGTCACAGGTGTTAAAAACAAAACACTGTGACCTCTATAACATCATCAAAGCTAGTACCAAACTTAGTTTGACAATCACAGGCTCTTAAGACTTTTAGGTAATCTACTTTCAATTAAATCTACTGAATATATAAACAAGTTAGTGAAATTCTTCTGTCTGAAGAATGCATAAGGTTCTAGGTGTGTATTTTTTAAAATTTCATTGGGTGACAACCACCCATATTTATGAATGCATGCATTATAATGCATTATACTAAGAAATGGTATTGCATTAATTTATGAAGCCAAGCAGCCAAAACACATAAAAATTCTGTTCAACTTTGTCTCCTGAAAAATTCTTCATAAGATACTGAAGAAACAATGAGGAAAGTATCCTGTCTATTTTCTAAACAACATTAAAACAAATTTAAAAAGAAAAATCGTTATCTCCTTGCCTTTGTCCAAAACCAACATCAATGTACATGGTTAGCAGCTGTCCACCCAAAACATAGCCAATAGCAGGACCTAATATTGACATAGCATAGCCAATTCCTAAAAAAGAACAAAGATATTGAGAATGGTCTTTGAAAATCTAGTAGTAATAAAGATATATTTTACTGTGAAAAATCAAAATATGAATTACATTAAATTTAAACATAACTACAAAATAACATTTGACATCACTTGCAAAGTCATGCATAAAATACATACTTATAAAAATTCTTAGTCAATATTGATAGCTGCAATAAATAGAATAATATATATATGATACTGTAATGAAGAAGACTATATCCTTGACTAAAAAATTAAAGGGACCAAATTAAATAAGCTTCCCAATTTTGTTCTGTATCTGTACTTCCAAAAAATTATCATTCAACAATTCCACAAGCATAGAGAAGTGATAATGTTACAGGCCTGATCTTTAGAAAGTATCGCTTCAAAGTTGGCTCTTAGTTGGCTTCTGGCTTCCTAACTGTATGGAGAAATGCCACCATACCCTAACTAATAAGGATGGTATGTTGTACCTAAAATACTTGCACTAACAATATGGTATTACTGAAGAACGGTATTCCTTCGAAATGCCTAAAACTTTGGTATATGTAAGGTAGAGTGTTCCTTTATGTTCAATACCCAATAAATCCTTTGATAATGAATCACTAATGAACTAAATGGTAGAAAACACTTCACACATTATGTCATAATTCACTATTGAAGGAATTAATTGCGATCTCCCAGTTCAGTCAGAGGGAAGGGACCCCTGGAAGCATGTACTTGGTTTTGTCTGTATCCCTTCCCCTTGCTTAAATACCTTCTCCCTTTGCTGATTATGTTTTACCTTTTTGCTGCAATAAATCAGTCATGTGTGTGATT